CTCCCCAAAACCCCAAAACCCCAAAACCCCAACTTAGCCACTAGACTATAAAATAATTAAATAGAAATGCCAGGAAGTCTCTACAGCGTATCGGTCACAGAAGAAGACAGACAAAGGTTCCCAGACCTTTTCAAAAGTAAACGACAGATAGCTCATAAGGCAAAGACCGAAATAGGTGCTAATATCAGGAATAAGCTGAAGTCCCTCAAGCAAAGCTATATCGAAGAGAAAATTTAGGAAAGAGAAAGAGCTCATAAAGGAGAGATACCAGTTTGAGCAGCTTCTTGAAAAATATCAGAAATATAGAAGGCCGAACGACGAGCTACCTACTCCTATGTTGAGATATCATGATAATATGGGTAAGTCTGATCTCTGCCATGAGCGGTTATATCTCAAAGTTATTGCTAAGTCAATAAGTTAGTTGTAAAACTTCTTTAATGTTGATTCCTACATTCACTCATAAAATTAAATAATTTTTCTAAGTAAGCACTGCATTGGTTATTTTAAAATGCACTACCTGCAAAATTTAGCTAGGTTCTTTTGAAATTTATCCCAAATCACTCTTGTTCTAATTATCTCTCTAGAAAGCAGAAGAAGCTTAATCCAAGAAGCCCCGAAAGATCTAAATTTTTTTAATAGCAACATACAAGAAGATGAAAAGTCCGAAAGAGGACTTACTCCATCCCAAAAGCATGCTTACTCAAGAAATTCAATACAGAACAAAAAGCAAGTTATCAGCTTAAGGAAAATAAAGGGTGCTTCCTTATCACGTTTGGAAAAAGACTTTGGGACTGTTTCTAGTGGCACTCTCAAGTCTCCTCACAGCTCATTGATCAAGAAGATCGAGAAACAATCCCTCAAAAGTACATTTATAACTTAATAAATTTAGGAGGAACTATCACCTCAAGAGAGAAGAGGCTTCAGCAATCGGACAAGTCACATAGCATGGCTAATCTCCTGAATGCTGAGAATAAAATAAACATCAAGGAAAGAAGCCCCAGAGTGAAAGGTCCTAAAATGCCTCAACCAATATTCTCCTCCATCCAGGAGGAAGAAGACACAGATGTTGAAGAGAAGATGAAGAGCCTGCCTCATTGGAAATATGCTGCTTCCTTCACCAACTACGTGAAAGAAATTCAGGGCATTAGGGAAGATGAGAAGGAAGAGTTCCTCAATCTTTACAACAAAAAGCATTATAAATAAACTCTACGACTTTTTATGCAACCATAAAAATCTAAAGAAATATTTTGATAACTTCGTAATGGAAGCTCAAGAAGAAGACAAATCTCCTGACATCAAGAAAAAGAAAAGGGAACACACCCACGCTGATAATTTCCTGCTGAAACAGGAAAAGCTTGAGCGGCAAAGAGTTCAATCCAGGCTTTTTGGTCATATTCAAGACGATAAAGACCAGAAGGTTGATTGGAAGAATCTTGAAAAATTGAGCAAGGATGCTATCTGAAAGTCCGATCTTCCCCTCCCAAAGCTTAAGTCTTTATCAAAAGTACTGGAAAACGAGATCGTTCGACTAGAAAAACTGATTGAAAAGTGAAAGAAAGAGCTTAAAAGAGTAAATTAGCATTACTAAACCATCCTAGAAACCCAGAAAGGACCTTAAAGAAGAAGATGAGAAGAAAAAGACAAGCAAGAGGAAAGAAATGGCCTCTGTCAGACTCAAGAAACTTATAATCGGTACTTGCAATTCTATCTAACCCATTTAAATAGTCAAGGATGAATGTGATAGAATGATTAAATTAAAGGAAGATGAACTTAAAAAGCCTGGAGGAGGCATAATCAGTAAGCCATTCATCCCAATCATATAGTTGATCCAAAGAAACAAATATACGTTAGTAAAGTTGATGCAAACGAGATTGCTCCAATTGTTAGTAAGAAAGGCAAACAGATACAACCCACGCAAGGTCATATTAAAAACCTGAGGAAGAAAGGTAACTTCTTTGTTTCGATGCTATTTTTGAAGGATTTTTTAAGGAAACCCATTAATCGCTGATCCCCTTGACCTCTCTTATAAAGTTCTTACTCTTTGCTTATAGACTACTATGAAAATCGGGTGAAGAAGGGATTCCAGCAGTAATACATTATTATTAAATTATTTCAAATTTTTATAGTAACAAAGGGGTTTTGGGGTTTTGGGGTTTTGGGGTTTTGGGG